GAACACCTAGAGGCCGACTAGATCTAGTGGCTCCCAGTGCGTAGGGGTGCGGCGTTCAAACCAGCAGGGGTCCGGGAGCTGGGTTCAAGTCAGCAGGGAGCAGAGTTCGAGCTGGCAGGACACACATGGACTGTTGCAAGCTCAAAAACTCCGGTTCCAGCCTCACAGCCAGAAACCAGCCTGAACTTCAGCGGAAGTAAAGGTGAGACAGGCTGGGATTATCCACTGCCCCACTGTGTGCTGCGGCTGGCTTGCTGGGATTAGTCAGTTCAGCTCCGGACTCTGTCTACCCACGGTGTCTACCAGGGACAGCAGAGCCACTCCTGGACTGGACTGCTTTTCTTTTTTTCTCTCTCTTCTTTCATTTTTCTTTTCTGGTTCTTGTTCTTGATTTGTCTTTTCTTGATTGTTTGAACATGATTTCTCTTTTTGTTCTATTCTTGGTTTTGTTTCTTCCTTTCTCTTTCTCTCCCATCTTCACCAGTTTCTCAAAGTTTGTACAGTCTTCGCTCTTCGTTCATTCGTCTGTTCTTTATTCGTCCCTCTGGCCTGGCTTCTAATCTCTTCCTCTTCTATCTTTCCCCCCAGCCCTTCTGAAATCTTCCCTGAGGGTAAAATCACCATAATAAGGGCTTATTTATTGCATACAATTTTCTGGTGCAGTTTAGACTTTGTTACATAACCTCAAATCTAGTTCATACAGTTAAAGGTGGCAAATTAATAGTTTACCACAGTTGGGCATTTTCTAGGCTGTATTTGATGCTACTGCTGCTGCTCATTGTACTACTTTAGCCAGGTGACATAATCAGTTGTCCTTCCTGGTATACCAACACTAAGATTGCCTAAGGCTCTTAAAAACAAAACAAAACTTAGCTCAGCAGTTCCACTGCCTGCCTTAAAAACAAAACAAAACTATAGGCCAGGGCCAAAGAACCAGTGGCTGGGCCAAGGAGGCAGAAACTTCTCATCCCCAATAAATTAAAGAGGTAGGATCTTTTAAAATTTTTTAGTTTCATTTTTAAACTTTTATTTCAATGTAGTACAAGTAGATATTAATAAAGAAAATGTTTTTTAAAATTCCATGAAAAAATAAAGCAAAATTTCATAACAAATTAATTACAAAATAATTAGTTGATACACTGTGTACATAATCTTAAAAGAACGGGGCCAGGGATTAAGCTCAGTGGTTTTGCCGCCTGCTGCGCAAGCGCAAGGACCCGAGTTCGATCCCCAGTACCTAAAAAAAAAAAAAAAAAAGAATGGCTGAAATATTAGAGTACAAATCTTAGACAAAAAAAGACTCTTGCAAAAAAGAAACAGATAATAGCATAAAACTTTCTTTTCAGTGAACTAAGAGGACCTAGAGGTATAAATGAAACAGGTTAGCATATATATTGATTTTTTTTTTTTTTTTGCAGTACCAGGGATCAAACCCAGGACCTTGCACTTGTGAGGCAGGCACAGTGCCACTGAGCTAAATCCCCTGCCCTGTATTGAAATTTTTTTTTTTTTTGGTACCAGGGATAGAACTTGGGTCCTTGAACTTGCGCAGCAGGCAGCAAAACCATTGAGCTAAATCCCCAACCCTGTATTGAAATATTTTTGAAACCATGGAATATATAATTTCTGGAATGATTAGAACTTCTCCCTACTTCTTGTTTCTCTATCTTCTTTATGTTTTGTTTTCTCTAACATTTAATAGAAACTATGTACAATAATTTTTTACTGTATCTTACATAGGATAGCCCCCACAGGAATTTCCATAGATCAGAAGGAAGATACACAGTTAAGGAGAGCCCAGTCCTGTGGGATATTTTCTCAGAGGGTGAAAGTCAGAGTTCAGTTGGGGAAAAGGGTTCAGACTGCCAGATTAAGTGGATGTCAAAAAAAAGATAAGATGCAGGCCTTTGGGTAGATAACCAGACACTGGGACCACTAATATTTCAAAGGTGCTGTTCTTAAACGCAGCCCTCATCTAGTCATCTATGTGGATTCTTGCCTGTGACTTAGGAAATGCAATTCCAAAGATGTCTTTTATTTTGTTTTGTTTTTTGCGGTACCAGGGATTGAACTCAGGGCCTTGTGCTTGAGAGGGAGGCGCGGGTACCACTGAGCTAAATCTCCAGCCCTCCAAGGATGTCTTTCCCATAGGCAAAGTCTTAAACATTCCTTCAGTCCCGGTCATAGGGATGACCTCTCCTACCTGCCCGGAACAGGAAGAAACCCACAATTTGGACACTACTGACCCAATCTCCCAAATTTTAGTTCTGATTTCCACTTTCAGTTTCTCCCATCAGAGAAACAATGAGGCGCTCAAACATTTTTTTAATAGCAAAACATTTATTGGTACATTTTAGGCATCTATAATGCTAACACTCATCAGAGGGAATTTGCACCTGTACATGTTACCACACACCTTTTTCCCATCCCCCACACCCCCTCCCATGTACAGCTTTGTTTCCATTTTTCCTTCTATTTTCACTTTTTCCTTGGTCCTTCCCCTTTCTCCCTCCCCCCTCCCTTGTTCCCATTCCCATTTGAACATTTGCTTCCCATTTCCCAATATATACATTTTAGTCCTTATTTGCACTTTCGGTTTCTCACACCAGAGAAACAATGCGGTATTTAAGCATGTGTGTCTGATTTATCTCAAGAGTATGGTCTCAAGGTCTATCCATTTAGCTATGTCTGAAGCTCATCCTTCTTTATGACAGAGTAGTACTCCATTGTATATAAAACCCCACATCTTTATCCATTTGTCGGTTGATGAGCATTTGTGCTGTTTCCAAGATTTAGCTATTACAAACTGTGCTGCTATAAACATGGGGGTGCATATATTGCTGCGGTATGATGCTTTTAATTCTTTTGGGAAGATACCAAGAAGAGGAATACCTGGGTCAAACGGAACCTCTAGTTTTAGTTTTTTGAGAAATCTCCACACTGATTTCCAGTGATTGCACCAGTCCACACTTCCACCAACAGTGTTTTTTTTCCCCACATCTCCTATCAGTTGACTTCTTGATAGCACCATTCTTTCAGGAGATGGAATCTCAGCGTTGTTTTAATTTGCATTTCACAAATGCCCATGATGTTGAACATTTTTTCATATATTTATTTGCTGTTTCTACTTCTTTATCTGAGAAGTGTCTTTTCATTTCAGATGCCTATTTTTGGACTGGATCTTTAAATCTGGGAGGTCTGATTTTTTTGAATTCTTTATATATTCTAGGTAACAGTCAAGAGGTAGGATCTTTCAACAGACTGAAAACACAAAAGCCAGCTACACCTCGAAGGCACCTCTGAGTAGTCATTTCCTAAGGGTTCGGAATACTGGCTGCTGTGGCTGACATACGCCTCTTTTACGTTTCTTTTTCCAAAAACAGGTCTTTTGTTGTTGTTGTCGTTGTCAGAGACTAAAGTGTACAAGAGTGAAAACGAGCCTCTAACCCTAACACACAAGTTCTCCCGACATTCACCTGCCCCAGGATTTCACCCAGGAATTTAAGAACACCTCTGAAGCCACGGTGGGTCATCCCATCTGTGGTCTTGTGACCTGCAGGATTTGGGAGGGGCCCCTTCCCTCACTTCTTAACGGTGGGTCTGCCCTACCTAAAGCAGCAGAAGCCTCAGGGCCGCCACAGGCTTGGCCCCGGCCAGGATCCGTACCTGACTTTCTACTCGCAATTCTGTGTTCTATTTTTTAAGGCAGGCTTCTCAAAGCGTAGACACTGCAGGCCCCACAAAACCTGCCTCCAGCGTGGCTGCCTGACACCCCAGGGTCTGGATGCAGCTGCAGCCCCGGATGCTGCGGCTGCTGCTCTCCTGGGACGTGAGACCCAGCGCCCGCAGACCTCTGGCCACACGGTCCAGCACCCTCGGGCCGGGACGCCCAGTCTGGCGCAGCACCCGCCACGGCTCCTGTCTTGCCCCCATCCCGTCCTTGTCACGGGGAGTGGGCACCGGAGGCCTCCTCTCCCCGCGTGTCTGTGCTGTTTCGGGGCAGGGGCTGCTCCTCTGTGTGGAGCTCGATGGGACGCGGACGGCCCCGGGCCGTGGGCCGCGAGCCGCGCCCCAGTGGCAGCCAGGTGGCTCCCGCTTCGCACAGCCCCCGCCCCGGCGAGTGACGCCCGGCTGAGCGCTGCTCCTCGGCCCTGCTGCCCACGAGAGGGGCCCGGGCAGGCCGGACCTGAAGGCCCGCAGGACACCGACTGGGATCGCAGCCGGAAGGACGCTCGTCGCCGCTTGGGCGTCCAAGCGCGGATTCGCCGAGCAGGAGGAGGACCCGGGGAGCAGACAACAGGGACGGGGCCGGCGAGGACCAAGTTCCCGCAGTCTGAGGCGGAGCAAACTCTCGTCTCACGCACGGACTCGCATGCGCACTGTTGACGCAGGGATTTTTTTTGTTGTTGTTGTTTTTTTTGTTTTTGTTTTTTTGCGGTGACGCATGCGCAGAAGGGCGGCCCGCCCCAGGTCGCGCATGCCCCCTACTGCGCCGGCACAGCTAAACCCGGTAGCCGGCGAGGCCCGTGGGCGGTGACGTCACCGGACGCTCCAGGCGCGCGCACGCGTCCCACTGCAGCATAGTGTTTCGGGACGCTCCGCGCGGGCCCGAGAGGCGCGGGTAGGCTCCGCGGTGGAGCGCGGGCGGGGGGCGGGGAGTGTGAATCTGGGCCTACGGTGGCCGCTGAGGGTCGGCACTACGGCTCCCACACTGGGCCAAACGCCTCCGGCAGCCGGCCCTGGGCGCACTCTTCTCTTCAGGCAGGCCCCAGCCAGGGGTGCCTGAGGGGTGCGCCGTCGCCCCGAGCCCTGAGCAGCATGCGGCCGCCCCCGCTCTCGGAATCCTGGGGGACAGGGGCTCCCGCAGGCCCGGACCCCGATGCCGCTGCGGAGAGGGCAGCAGGTGAGCGGCGGCGTGGCGGGCGGAGGCGGCGCGGGCCCGGGGCGGTCTCCAGGGCAACGCGCCGCGCGGCACCCGGAAGTGGCTCTGCGGGCGCTCGGGGCTGCGGGCCGGGACGTGGGGACAGGAACCGGTGGCCTGGGGCCCTGTCGCGCGCCGGAGCGGGCATGTGGATATCTGTCCCCTTGCTGGAGCAGCACCCTACGGGCGACCCCAGCTGCCGGGGTCCACGTCGCGCCCCGGTGAGGGCATCAGGTCCCACTCCGCGGCACGGGCTGCGGGCTCGGTCCACGCCACCACCTCCTCGCACGGCCTTTTTCTCAGACCTCGGCCGGGAGGGGGAGCTGGACCGAAGTCCCCGTGAAGGCCGGAGCGCTTGGCCACGCCCCCCGTCCTGTTAGCGACTTCCTTCTCCAATCTTATTCATCCTGAACGTTCCCTTCAGTTTCCGTACACACCTCGCTTGGGCCCCTGTAAATGGCACTCGCCGGGTGAAAGCAGATGCTGCGTGCTGTCTCTCTGTGGCTTGAGTCTGGAGGGCTGCTGCTGTCCCGTGGCAAACACTGAACACCGAGCGCCTTTCTCTGCGAGGGCACCCCAGCAGGTGTCCCCCATTCAGGCAGACCCGGGAGTGCAGAGCAGGAGCGGTTGGGGAAGGGGCCAGGGAACCGTCCAAGATCATGCCTCGGGAACAGCAGCACCAGGAGTCAGGCTCCGCAGGTGACCGCAAAAGCACCCGTCCCTCGTCTCAGTCCTGGTTCTCTGTGGGACGCCCATCAAACGCTTGTTGTCCTGGATAAGGCATCCAGGACAGTAATGGGCAAAGTCAAAACAAAGGAGGGCTGCTGATGCCCCCCACTTCTCCCATCCTAGTTGGTTTGGGCGTTGACTCCCCCAGGACGTCTTCCCTGGTGACTAGGACCCCTGTCCCAGCTGCCTTCCCCCGCAGCACCGTGGGTAGAGCAGGCACCTGGGGTTTTCACTTTGTGGGTCCCCCTAAGGATCCTCTAAAGCGCAAGGCCTGGTTTGTACCTCCCGGCCCTGCCTGATTTCACGGGGAGGCTCACCTCTTGGTGCCCTGGGACTGACCTGGTCCTCTCCTTACCCTCCCTGCAGGCTGCCACCTGCCCCAAGCCCCAGCTGCGATCTCCCAGGCCTAGGCACCCATGACACCTATGCTGACTGTCGCCTGGACGCTGCACAGCCACTGTGAGCTAGCACTGCCGCCGCTGCCGCCGCAGGGTCCAATGCCAGTGATACCCATCCCGCGGCGGGTGCGCTCCTTCCATGGCCCGCACACCACCTGCCTGCATGCCGCCTGTGGGCCCGTGCGTGCCTCCCACCTGGTGCGTACCAAGTACAACAACTTCGATGTGTACGTGAAGACGCGCTGGCTGTATGGTTTCATCCGCTTCCTGCTGTACTTCAGCTGCAGCCTGTTCACTGCGGGACTCTGGGGCACACTGGCCGTGCTCTTCTGCCTGCAGTACCTGGGCCTGCGCGTGCTACTGCGCTTCCAGCTAAAGCTGTCTGTGCTGCTGCTGCTGCTGGGCCGCCGGCGTGTGGACTTCCGCCTCATGAACGAGCTGCTCATCTATGGCATCCATGTGACTATGCTGCTGGTTGGGGGCCTGGGCTGGTGCTTCATGGTCTTCGTGGACATGTGAGGGTGCTGCAGGCCGGTGCCAGGCTCACTTGAAGTGTCCGGCGCAGTTCTGTGGGGGGCTGGGCGTCTGCCCCATCCAGCAGGCAGGCCTGCAGTACACATTCCCATTCAGGAGCAAAGAGGGCTGAGACTACAGTCTGTGTCCATCCCTCCCTCTGACCACTCCCCGCTGACCCTCCCTCTGCGTGCCTCACGGTGCACTGCACCCTGAGCCTCCTGTCCACCTTGCTTGTTCAGTTGCCATACAGGGTGGCACCTCTGTCCAGCCTGTGCTCTGAGACCCGAGGACAGGGAGGCAGTACAGGAACAGAGGTGAAGGGTTCTCTTCCCTGCAGACCCCTTTTCTGTGCGCCCCTGATCTCAGCCGCAGCCTCAGGGACAGTCAGCCTCCACTAGTGACACCACACTGCCACGTGGGTTCTGGCCCAGACACAGACAGACAGAGGTTGTGTGGGTCCTGAATCCCAGGCTGGGTCTCAGAGCCGCTGCAGTTTGCTGCAGGGCCAGCCCCACACCAGCAGCTCTGTCTCCCTCACCTGGGGCAGGTCTCAAGGAGTTGAGCCTGTGCTTAAGTAGCTGCAAACGTGGGCTTCCAGGGAGTGCCTCTTTCTAACTCCTGGGCAGTTCCGGGATCTCTGAGACAGCATCCAGGGTTAGACCTGCTTGTCTTGAGGGATGTCAGGGGTTCAGACAGGCCCACCCTGGGAATCCCGGGCCAACTCCAAAGGTGCCTTCCGGGTGCCATGTGCAGCGGGCATATGGGAGGGCTGCTGGCCTCTCCACTGCGAGAGCATCCTGGGTAGGGACCCCCTGCAGCAGCCCCATGAGGGGTGGGATCATGGTGCTGTGGCGGCCAGCACAGCCTACTGGTGAGGGGGCTCTGACTCATAACATCAGAGTGGGGACCCTGGGCCAGTCGGAGAGAGTGGTTGGCCAGCCCTTGGTTCACCTCAGATTGTCGTCTCCATGCCTGGGCATGTGTCTTGGGCCCTTTGACCCTGTCTGGCGAAGCAGACCAGAGGCAGGGAATCTGAGGACAGATTCATCCACTGAAGAGAAACCTAGAAAATTGCCAACCAGGTGGGACAGCAAAGCCTACTGGCTATAAACTGCCCCTCAGTTTCCAGCCAGCTTCAAGCATGACCCCCCAGTGGGAGGGCTCTGCCCAGAGCGTCTGTCTAGTTTCCCCCAGGAGAGGCAGGCGAGGAGCTCCCTGGAGGACCCCACTTCTCGCTGCAGAGAATCTTTTGCACTAATTCCTGTCTTTCCTCAGAGCAGCTTTGTTTTGTGTTCATTGACTGGCGACTCGGTGCTGCCGGAGCCCTCTTGCATGGGTGCCGGCAGGTGCGTCGGGAGGTGGGAGGGGTCTGGCTGGGTCACCTTAATGTGGACAGGACCTTGCCGTGCTGCACACCCAGCTGCCTGTGTCCCGAGTGCCTGTTGAATTCTCTACGAGAGGAAGCTCCTGCATTAAACCTATTTTTTTAACATGTTGATCAAGTGACTACTTACTGCTCACAATCTTTATTCATCTAACAATACAGTCACCAACCAAAAAGGCTATAGAAACCAATTCTGTCCACAAAATTGGGGTATTTCTTAGATGCAGCCGTCCCGCTGTGGGGAGGAGGCCCTTGGGAACCGGCCGGTGGCTCTCAGCTTCATGCACCTCGGTGTTGGGAGGATGAGGACTTGGAGACGGAGGAGAACCACGGTGGCGGCTCCCAGTTAACAGGGACGCACCGGGAGCCAGAGGCAGTGCCTGTGTGTTCACGTCCTCCTGGGAAGGCGCTTCGCTCCTGCGCAGGGCGGGCTCCCCTTTCTCGTTTGCTGACGGAGACCTCGATGGACACGAGGCTGATGGTTTTTGCCACTGTGGCCAGAAATGTCACTGAAAAGAAAACCCTGGCTGGCAGAGCCGCCTTGCTGTTGCTTCTGGGCTTGTGAAAGGCTGCATGTGGCAGCATCTTTCACCCTTTTGGGGTGTGCGTGTGCTGCCGACCGGGGTGCAGGGTTGGGCTTCGCCCCCGGCCCTGCAGGTATTTCCGATGAGTCTGAAGTCCTGCACCCTCTGCTCCTGGGCAGCCAGGGCCAAGGCTGCTGGGTGCTGCTCATGCCCTGGGGTGGCTGCCCGCTACCCCTGCCCAGCATTACGCAGCCTGTGTGTAGACCACTGTGGGGTGGTGGCCATGCCCCAGGGGACGCCCACCTCCCGGGAGCTCCCCCGGGCCTGCCTTGCTCTCCAAGGGACTAGAGTGTTCTCTGCTTTGTGTTGTTCCCAGAGCTGGAGGGTAGGGTAGACCCAGGCCTCTGCCACCGGGCTGCGTGGTGCCTGACGGCCGTGGCTCGCTGCTGTCTGAGCACCTCTGTGCGGATACTGAGCACGTGGCTGTGTCTGGCCAGGCCCAGAGTGACCAAGGTCCCAGGAAGACGCCTCCTGGGGCTGGACTACAACAGATGGCCTGACGTGGCCTTGGGGTGGCGGGGGGCCCACCCTGGAACTCGGGCCTGGGGACCGGCTGTGCTCCACTCCTGGCAGGGCTGCCCCACTCGGCTGTGTAACCGGAAGCTCGCCCTGGCTGACGGGCACTGTTCTCCCGAGGCCGCATGACTGGAGGAGCTGCACCGGGGCTGCCTGGGGGGCCCAGACCCTCCCCCACAGACGGGCGCTCTCCGGGGCGGTGCTGGATGTCAGGGCAGCCCAGGGACCCCGGCAGCAGCTGTGCCGCACCCAGTGGGGAGCTGGGCGAGGCCGCTTCCCCGGGGCCTGGGAACACCACTCCAGTGCCCATTTAGAGCCAATGATCTGCTATCGAGGGCCTGGGAAGAAGGCAGTGGAGCCTTCTGGAGGCCTGCATGGGGCAGGGAGGAGCGGAGGACAGGCGTGCAGTGCAGCCAGTGGGCAGGGAGCGGCCTTGGGAGACAGTGTGGACCCTTACCCGGCGGCTGCTCACTCAGCTGTCCCCACCCCAGCAGGCAGGCCGCCCACGAGGTAGGAAGAGGCCGGGGAGGCAGCGGGGTGACTTCCAGGGCCAAGCTGTGGGGGCGAGGCAGGGAGGGTAGGTTCGGGGCTGCCAGGTGCCCAGTGCACGGCGGGAAGGGAGGGGAGGACTGCAGGGCCAGCCAAGGTGGGGCTGCGTGGGAGCTGAGCTGGGCACTTGCTGGCTTCCTGGGGCAGGAGGGCCGAGGCGGGGAGCTGTTGGGGAGGAGTAGAGGGGCCGGGGACATCCCGGGGTAGAGCGGGAGGGACAGGTGCCCAGGCAGGAAGGTGCGGCCAGGGGCCACCGGACTGCTGCCCCTGGCGGGGCGGGGTGCCCTGCAGACCGGAGCCCTGCTTCCCTCCACCGCCCACCACGCGGGCCCGGAGGACGAGGGGCCCCCAAAGTGACGGGAAAACCAGCAGGGACGGGGGTGAAGGCAAGGGGGACGCCCCAGCATTTATGGAAGTGAGGGGCCAGTGGAGAGGCCGCCAGCCCTGCCCGGCACCAAGTGGACAGCTGGCTCCGGAGACCGGCCCTGTGCCCCGTGTGGAGCGGCCAGACCAGAAATGAACCTGCGCGCTGACGGGCCATGACCCTGCAGTGTGATGACAGCGGAAGAGGGCCGGGAAAAAGGCCAGGGGAGGGGAGGCCTGACAGCCCCAGGGAAGGACACGGGGCAGCGACCGGAGCCCGGCCCTGGCCACTGCGGGCTGTCCGGGCGTCGGAGCCCTGGCTCCCCGACCTTGGGAAGCCGTCCCTGCCCTGCTGGAGGAGGAGGGGCGGCGCCTGCGAGTGCTGACTCAGCGCTTTGCGGCAGGGAACCCTGGGGCTGCAGCGGCCAGGCGCCCGCACCTCTCCCTTTTGGTCTTGTTTGCAAGAAGGGTCCTCTCTGCCCAGCCTGCCCAAGGAGGACCCCCGCCCCACCCCGGCCCCGCACTGCACCCGGAAGCAGCATTCCCAGCCGGAGCACCGCAGGACCCACTTTCCAGAAATCCCTAGCAGCCTGGCACGGCTCCCGAAGTTCCCAAAAGGGGGAGCAGCAGCCTCGCCAGCCAGCGAGCCGTGCCCTCCCCCGCCGGCCAGGCAGCATGCCCAGGCTGCTGGCAGCGGTGTCGCATGGGGCCTCACAGGGTAGTGTTGCTCGCAGTGTGCGGCCCGCACTGCGCCTGAGGGCGGGTGGCAGCCGAGCCAGCGGGCAGGAGAGCAGCCCGGGTAGAGGGCCCAGGGCAGGGGAAGCAGCCCGGCCCCCAGCACAGCATGGAGCCCTGATGCAACCCTGCCTCAGCCTGCAGCTCCAGGAGCCCAGGCCGGCCAGAGGCCGTGCGTGTGTCCGTCTCTGGGCAGGTCAGCTGTGGCCACCTGCCGTCCTGACCAGAGTTGGGGGCTGACGGCGGGCTCTGCTGCGTCCCATCCGGGTCATCACCAGCTGGCCCAGGGCTAGGGGTAGTGGGCTCTTGGGGGGCGGGGCAGGCAATATCCTGCCTCCCTGAGGGCCTGGCTGTGTGGCTTCGCCTGCTCGGGAGCCGCGGACAGGCAGGGTCAGCTCTGTAGGCCGCTTCCAGAGCCAGGGCAGGGCCCTTGGTGTCCCCGTAGCTGTGGAGAGCGGAGGGGGCCCCTGCAGCTGGGGCCCTGTAGGAAAGGCAGAGGGGAAGCCCAGGCTCCAGCCAGAAGGCCAGGGGGCGGCGCCATGGTGTGCAGTAGAGGGAGCAAGCAGGAGGCTGCAGTGGGCACGGGGTCAGAGGGCTGGGGCTGCCCAGCCTCGGGCTTGGAGGCCCAGCAGGACATTGGCCATCAGCTAAGTATTGATGCTCGTTCCTCAAATGAGGACAGTGTTCTTTCTGCTTTCTCAGAATATTAATGTGGTGCTGGTGAATGATGTATGAATATTCATACACAGATCAATAAAGTCCAGGGCAGCTGGCACTGCCCTGGGAGATGCTGGACCTGCCAGGTAGTGGCGGGGGATGGTCTCAGCCTAGCATGGCCGGTGTGGTGGCATCCGTGCCCCTCCAACTGGGGCTCACCCCCTCGGACAGATGACTGGTGACCAGGGACAGGTGGCCCTCAGCCCGGGGTCCAAGGTGGGGCTCCAGCAGCGGATCCAGAAGAGGTTCTGGTTCAGGTTTTGCAGCGGAGGCCAGTGAAGGGTGACCTTTGCCCTCCTGGGGTCTGGTGCCAAGGACTGCTCTTCGGGGCTCGGTGACAAGACCAGCACTTGGGCCCAGGCTGGGCAGAGGCTGGTTGCTGGGTGGCCATGGGCAGTGCTGCAGGGAGCCCATGTCACCTGGGGCTCTGCCCACGGGGCCCAGCACCCTTGGCTCCCAGGCCCACCCACTCTGGTGGCCAGCGGCTCTCCAGACGGCCCCCCAGCAGACACCCCTCCTGAGAAACGCTCCTGCAGCCCAGGGTCTCTCTGCCACTGTGGCCCCGGTAGGGAGCCCGGTGTGACGTAAGTCCAGGTATTGCGTGATTCAGTGTTGGCAGCGGCACCATGACGTCATGGCACATGAATTATTTGTGTGTTTCCTGGCTTCCTAATGCACAAGGTGTCCTAATGAACACCATTATCTCCCTCAATGCCTGCAGTCCCGAGTTGGCCCTGCACCGGCTGCCGCCTAGGGTGCGAATGGGAGGTGCTGTGGCTGGGTTCACCCTCACCCCAGCACCAGCACGCGTGCGCACATGCGTGTGTGTGTGTGTGTGTGGCTGCACACTGCCCACTGCTTTGTTTCCCGTCCTGGCCCCGTGTCCTCTGCCTCGGGGCTCCCCCTCTGCATTCTCCAAGTAAGGGCGGGAGTTGGGAAAACTTGAGGGGCTGTACCCTGCCCAAAAGCAAGGTGCAAGGTCACCTTAAGAGGAGACCTTAAGGGCCGGGGATTCAGCTCCGTGGTTCTGCCGCCTGGCCCACAAGCGCAAGGACCCAAGTTCAATCCCCGGAACTAAAAAAAAGGTGACCTTAAGAGGGCAGCACCTCCGCTCAGGCTGATTGGCCTGTCTTGGGGGGTGGGAGGGAAGGAAGCGGCTGCACCTGCAGCCCAGGCAGAGCTGCAGAGGACAGGAGCAGTGCCCGGTGGGGACCTGGGGAGGCTCCCCGTGGTGCACAGCGCCCTGCACCTCCTTTCCTCCCAGCAGCACTGGCTGAACCCTCAGGGGAGGGTGCTGCAGAGCTGCTGTCCCTCCAGTGCCCTGGGCCCTTGTTGGCAGGGGTGCGTCCCCTGGGCAGCGGAGGGTGCCGTCCCCCTGGCCCCAGGGTCTGGCGCGCAGCCGGACCCTGGCTGGTTTGGAACAGCAGCCCCAGCCCCTGCCCCAGAACCCTTCCCTGTCCCCCCAGGAACCCCAGCTGCCCCTCACCGCAGTGCTGCTGGGGCAGTGAGTTCTGCCAAGGGCACCACTGTCCCCTCGCCTCACCCACCCGGACAGCACGGGGCCCAGGCTCCGCCGTCCCTCCGCAAGGTGAATCACGGGAGCCGGCGACCCTCGGCCTTCTTGGGAGGAGGAGGAGGCGGCCGCTGCTGCACTGAATGGTGGAGGGAATTTAGGACAAAAGAGGGAGAAGAGGAGAGCGTCCAATCTGAGCTGGGGGCGGCGGGCAGAGAACTAAACGGCGCTGCCCTCATTCCGGGGCCCAGGGAGGTCCTGCAGCCGTCCGCAGGAAACCAAAATACTCACCCAGTTTTCTTCAGTGAAAGGGATCTGGGCTCGCCCGGTGCGGAGGGCACAGATGGCCGAACGTGTGCCGTCTCCCTCCCTGGACCAGGGCCATGGGGCCTTCTGTCCATGCCAGATGCGGGGTGCAGGCCGAGCCCGTGGCAGTGCCCACTCAGCTCCAGCTGACCGAGGCCTCTGTGGGTCCAGGTAGCGGCCCCACTGCATCCTCCACATCCAGGGGGTGGCCGGCATCTGGGGCAGCTCAGCCCTGTGCCTGGGCTCTCGCACTTGGCGGGAGCAGGAGAGGGGGTGGCCCCACGGGGCTCTCGATGCTGAACCCGGACCCTGCCCCTTAGTTGACTGCAGGATGGCAGAGAAGAGGCCAAGGGAGGCCTGGCTGCCTGGGGGTCTGCGAGCCAGAGGGGGCAGTGGGAGCCCTGGCTCCGTGCCTGCAACCTTGGGCCTCCAGCACCTGAGCCGCCAGGTCCCCTTACACCTGGGTGGTGCAGGTTGCAGGCCGCCATGCTGAGCAGATGGGCAGGAACCAACTGGTGGACTGGCCCTGGCCCTTGGGAGGTGAATCTTCACCACAGAAAGGAAGCTCTGCCCGGGCTCGGGAACGCGGTGGTGTGTGGGCTCAGCAGTGCCCTGATGCCCACCCGCCCTGCAGCTGTGTGTAAAGCACCCAGAAGAGCCCGCCTGGCCCCTGTGCTGCGCTGGGCGTACCTGCTCACACACCCGGAGAAGCCCGGTCTTGCGGGGTGAGCGGAGAGGACCGGCTCCTTGCATGAAACACCGTGAGCAACAGGCGGGACGGTGGCCCAGTGTCCAGGCAGGAGGCTGGGGTGGAGACTGTCCACCGCCCTTTGCCCATCGGCTCCAGTCACTCCCGGGCTCTGGGGCTCCTCCCAGCCGCCCCGTTGCCGGGCGCCTCTCTGCTCACAGTGCCTGGAGTGTCTGCTCCGGAGCCCCAGTCAGGGTGGAGAAGCTGCCTGGCAGGGCCAGCCCCTCCATGGCACAGCAGGGCAGCCAGAGGTCAGGGCCGGCTGCCCGTCTTGTCTCTGTCGTCCTCCTGCCGCTCCTGGCCACCCTGGGCAGCTGCTGTCCCCCGTCCACCCTGCCACGCCCTGAGGAAAGTTTTCAGCCCCACAGTGCCCTCAACAACTATGGGCCTCATGGGTGCACACGGGCACGGTTCCCCTGTTGGCAGAAGCCGGTGGGCAGCACAGTCGTTTCCTGCTCACAGCTGCACCCCTAGGGTCAGGTCAGAGCCCTGGCAATCCTCCCCCCTGACACTTGTGCCCAGCACCACAGCTGATGGCCCGCAGGCGCCCAAGGTGCCCAGGGTGCCGCCCGGACTCCAGCACAACACTGGTGTGTCACGGAGGCACAGGGCCTGCGAAGATGTGGGCTCCGGCTCTGTGGCTGGGAGGGGCGGGAGCCCTGTTTCCAACAGCTCTGTGCACCGGGCACCGGAGAGCACAGGGTAGGGAGGTGGGGCTGACGTGGGGAACCCCCGGGGTGCAGCTGGCAGGCAGTGGGTGCAGAAGGTCCCGGGAGGAGGCGGTCAGCTGTGTGGCCACACGCTGAGGCTCAGACTAGCCCGGGCTGTGGGGGGCTGACGCTGGCCCCCTGGGAACCTCACCAGCCCATTGTGGCAGCTTCAAGACTGTCCCTGTCATCCACACCCAGCCCATCTAGCTGGGCCCTGGACACTAGAGGCTTGGGGAGCAGCGTCCTGCCCCCCCTTTCTCCCTGGAGGGCCAGCCTGGTGCTGCCCCTGGTCAGATGCCAGCCCCACTCTGGGTCCCCTCACTGCTGCCTCCACTCCCGTGGGCCCCAGGAAGAGAACCAAGGACCTGTCGCCTGCTGTCCTCACGAGGTGTCCCCAGCTGAGCCCGTGCCTTGCTCCAGGCTGCACGGGCCCCGGGTGGTCCTGACACTTGACACCCTTTGCACCCACGTGGCCACCTCCAGGCACAGAGTCCTGCGGCACGGAGCCCATGCCCCTGCAGCTCGGCTGTCCCCACCCCAGCCCACAGCCCTCATCCCTGCCTGATGGACACTCTGTCCTTGGAAACGCTGAGCTGGCTTCTGCTCCCCACCTGCACAGATCTGACTGCTCTGGGCCCTTCGTGGGCCCTGTCCACAGCCACCGTGCCTGGCCGGCCTCCCTGGAGCAGGCACCCCAGTGGCACTGCCGTGTGGATGGCCACATTGCGTATGTGCGCTGTTCCTGCCTCGGCCGCTTTGCCTGCTGCAGTGACGCCGTGTGCAGTGGCCTGTCAGCCCTGCGCCCAGTGCCCTGGCCCACACTTGAGTGGGATTCTGCTCTCCTCGAGCCACTGCACCATTGAGCCCAGTCATGCCGCTTCTCCAGGTCCCCGTCAGGCAATGGCTACCAGGTTCTCCTTCCCACCCTGCCACTGTGATGGGTGTGCAGGTCACACGCTGCTGGGCTATTTTCCCCTATAGTGGGTATTGAACTGCGGTGCTGAGCTACATCCCCAGCCATCAGGGACCCCAGCCTGGAGTCTCATCTCCTGCAAGGTGATATGACGCACGGCAAAAAGAACACACAAAGATTCACAGCAAAATGGGGAACATGGATCGGCCACACTGAGCGTGTGGCGAGGGCCCCAAGCAACCAGGACTGCCAGTATTCATTGCTTACATGGGCATGAATCGAACAGGGTCAGCGGATGGGTGTGGCACCTGCTGATATCAGCTGACAGAGCAGGCAGTGAGAGGGAGGTAAGGCAGTCTCGCAGAAAGAGCACAACAGGCCAAAGGGAGATCTGGTTAACTGGTAAGCTCTGAGGCGGTTCAGGGGCAGCCGCTCTGGGGCTGGAGTGTGGTTGGAGCTGCATGGTCCCCGGCTGCAGTACTGCACTAGGAGGCCTGCAGCTTCGCAGAGCAGGACTGAGGTCTCAGTCACAGCCACTGGCCGGGGGTGGGTAGGCCAGCCCATGCGCCCTCTGACACGCTCCTGTGAGTCACACAGATTTTGGTCCGGCTCCGAATACACTGTGGCCAATTGGGGGGAAAATGCCTGCTCCACATTACAGCCTGCTCTGACTTTGGTCAGGGGGCTCTGCCACTCTCAGCCTCTTTTAAAATTATTTTCTAAAATTCTGAGAGAGGGTCTGCTCCGACACTGAGTTGCCCAGGCTGGAAACTGGAATCCTCCTGCCTCAGCTGTCCAGACTGCTGGGGTGACAGCTGTGCCACCACAGGCCTTGGGTGTTTCTACTGGGTCTGTCTCCCTGGCAAGGACACAAGCCTGGCGGCAGGGTCTGAATCTAGGGCAGGCACAGAGGAAGGGGCCCAGGCCCCTCTGTGCCCATGGGCCCTGCTCACCCCAGGAAGGTGCGGGGCCTCAGCTGTGGTGAGAACCGGCTGCAGCGTCAGATGGCTCTCCTGGGCAGCTCAGTCAGTGCCCGGGCTCAGGGTGGGCGCTGCTGCCCCACCTGTCCCCCACTTTCCACTCGCCCACCCACTCCATAAGAGGTGCAGCCGAGTCCCAGCCTGACAGCAGCTGCGGACAGACTCGCAGGTTCTGGCCCAAGGGGGAGCAGTCAGATGGGGCCAGAGAGGGGCTGCGGCCTCACCCACGGTCCCTGCCCTCAGCAGGCTGGGGGCCAGGCTGGGGGCGGCAGAACCCAGACGGGCTGGCTTGGGGGTGCCCTGTGTCCCGCCTGCTGTCTCTGTGGGGCCACCTGTGTCCTGGGTGCGTCCCGCACCCCGTGGGCTATGGAATGGCAGCCCCCACTCACACTGGGCTGGACTGCAGCGGGCACCAAGCCCATTGCTTATGCAGAGTGGGGCCTGCACCAGGCTCCACCTGGGCCTCGGGCAGAGAAGGCTCTGGCCCGCAGGATGGGACGCAGCACTCACTGGGCAGGACGGCGCACGGCCCTGGTAGCATGGAGGGAGGCGGTGCTCACCCTCCCTGGGGCCCAGCGGAGTGGGGAGTGGTCAGGAGCCTGTGCCCAACACCACGGGGTGCAGGGCCCTCATGAGGACACCTGCACGGACGGCAGAGAGGGCAGAGGAGCCCTGCCCATCCTCCGTGGCCACTGTCGTCAGTCGGGCTCAGCTCTACCCCGGGTCAGGCTTGGGGAAGCCTGCACAGGACAGGGGCCGAGTGCAGTGGGCTGGGGCCTCGGCTGCCAGCTCTGCCTCAGCCTCCCAGGAGTGGGAGCCCTGGCTCCATCCTTCCCACTAGTTGTGGGTGTGTTTTGTTTTGTCCTGCAGCTCTGGGGATGCAGCCGATGGCCTCGCGCCAGGCACATGCTCCAACACTGAGCCACGTACAGCCTGGACCTTTGTAAGACAGCATCTTGCCATGCTGCCCAGGCTGCCTTCAAACTTGGGATCCTCCTCCCTCGGCCTCCTCAGTAACTGGGATTACAAGCATGAGTCACTACCTCTGCCCCACGTGGGTGTTTTTACTGGGCCATCAACAACCACTTGGAGACCAGCCAGAGGCAAGACCCCACTTTCCTGATAGCCTCGAGTTGGGGTCGGGGTCTTTGTGGGGAACACAATTTCCCGTCCTGTCAGGAGGCCCTCTTGCCTCCCCCTGGAGGTGGGGAACAGGGGGGCCCTGGCCAGGGCAGCTTCCTGAGGAGCGGGGCCCCCAGTCAGGTGGTTTCTCTGCCCCTGGGGAACTGCTGCGGAGCCAGGAGCAGTGCAGAGACCAACACAGCCTGGCTTCTACGCCAGGACACTGAGGGGCGGGGAGGCCAGTTGGCCCAGCTGCATCTTTTGTAACGGGGGCTGTGAGCCAGGGATGCTGGGCAGAGCCGCACAGAGGCGACGGGGCTGGGCCAAGGTCACCAGCATCAGGGCCAGGCAGCAGCACAGCGGGAGCAAAGGGCCTGGGGCAGAAGGGCATCAGCACCTGGGATCCACGAAGAAGCCAGCACGGTGGGCGCTGCAGAGAGGAGCAGAGAGACAAGGTCTCCAGGCTCGGGGTTGTGCCTGGGGCTAGTGACAGCAAGTCAGAGGCGGTGGCCGACCGGCTCGAGGACAGAACTGCCCAGGCTCAGGCTCACGAAGAGAGGCCGAAAGCTGTTCTGGGGTGGCTCGGGCTCCCGTGGCCATGTTGTGTGTGGAGGAAGCTGCCTGTGCCTGCGTCTCTCCCAGTGCTGGGTGCAGGGGACGCTGCCCTATGCCACAGTCCCATGCTACCGGGCTGCACGGGCCCCAGGAAAGCAGGCGTGTTGGGGTGCATGGTGGTCTGGGGCCCTCACTCCGCCTCTGCGGCCCGCCTTTTGTCCGCAGCGAGTGGTTCCTGGTGACTGCCTCCTCCCTTCCAGGCTGATGCCTGGATAACGGCCCAGGCCACGGCGGGCGCCAGGCCCTGCTATCAGCCTGCAGCAGGCTCACCCGCCACAACCACAGGCTTTGGCTCACTGCTGTTTTCTGTTTTTTGCAATGCTGAGGATAGAACCTGCGGCCTCACGCTTGAGAGGCAAGTGCTGGACCATGGAGCTGCACCAGGGATGCCAGGGAACGGAGAAGAGGGGCCCTGAAGGCTGCACCCAGTTCCTGTCTCTGAAGCACCAGGGAGCCTGACCTCAGCCACCCAAGCTCATGGTTCTTTCTTCTCCATTTGTAAAACAGGATTGGAGAGCTTGGGGCCTGGGGTTGTTGCAGAGATTGAATGAGGCCATGTGTGCAGCTCAGAGCCCGAGCCGCCCAGCCTTCGGCAGGTTCCGTGTGCGCTGAGCTCGTTCACACCGGCCGGCATGTGCACAGGCACCTGACATCGCACCCGGCCCCCAGGCCCCAGGGAGAAGCTTTGGGATCTGTCCTCTTCTAAACCCTTCCCAGAGTTTTCCAAGCGCCCTTTATTACAGAAGAATTTCTGGGCTGGGGCTTGGGTTCCACCCCAGCCTTGCATTAAAGAAGAGGAATTTCCTTAGTGTTTAGAAAATAAAAGTAAGGAAAACAACCGGATGTGCAAGGGGGGTACCCCTCCTTCCTTCCCTGTGGCCGCCGTGTCTGCCTGAGGCGGGGAGGCCTCCATCTCCGGATCGGTGGGACCCCAGCCCAAGGCACTGTGCGGACAGAAACAACGCTCAGGTGCTGTGCACGGGAATCCTGGGCTCCGGGCTCCCCCACTGCAGACTCCCCTGTGTGGAGCAGGCGCCAGGGTGGCAGGAACTGTGGTCAGGGTCTCCCTCTCCCTCCCAACAGGCTGCCTGGCGGGTGGGGTGGACCAGGCTCGCTGGGCCTCAGTGGGGTCAGAGCCACCCACTTTCTGGAAGCAGAGCCCGAGCTCAGGCTGAGGCCCCACCTGGGACAGGGACAGGACTCAGCTGGGGGTCAGGGTCCAGGAGCGACCTGGCTCCCTGTGCCTTCACCCACCTCGCGGTGACCTTGATCATGCACTCTGAGGGCCGCCCCACTTCCTGAGAGGCCCCTTGGTGGGTGTGGGGCATGGCCTGTCCTGACCTGTACTTTCCGGGGGGCTGCAGGCTGGGAGGGGCAGCAGCGAGGTTCTGGGCCCACTCACACGCGTGGCTGGCTTTAGTTCGGTGCTTGTTTGGAACTCAGAGCTCGGGCAGCTCAGCAGGCCGGGAGCCCCAGAGGGCACAGGGCCAGGGTGGTTGTCAGCACCTGGATCACACTGAGCCTGAAGGCAGTTGAGCCGCCCGGCGGGTGGCAGCTCCGTCCCGCGGGGAGGGGCGCCCGTGTCCCTGTCCAGGTCCCCCCCCAAGTCCCCGCCCTGCCCGCCGGCCACCTGGCGGCGAGTGCGCGCGCGCGGCCGGCGCGCTGTCCCTTTAAACAGCCCGCAGCGCCGCCCCGCCGCCCCGCCCGCCCGCCGTGGGTGCCCGGTGCCGAGGTCGAGGAGTCGGGGCCGAGCGGAGCCGCAGCGCCGCGGGACTGGCTGGCGCCGCAGGTACCGCCCCGCCGCACTTCCGCAACTCTCGGGCCGGGCCGCCAACTTGGCCGATGCGCCTGCCGCAGTGCCCGCCCCGCGCAACCGGACGCCGCCACCGCGGGTGCGGCCAGCCTGGGCCCAGAGGCGGCGGACCCGCCTGGAGGCTGGGGGCTCGGGCGGCGCGTCCCGGGAACCTCGCGTTCTGGGGACCCCCGAGGTAGCCCGCGGCCGCCGGGACGGGACCCCACCCCCACCCCACGCCGACCCCTCCCCCCGGCCCTGCGCGGGGCGCGGTCACCGCCTCCGCCCCTCCCCGCCCCCCACGGGCACCACAGCCCGCGAGAGTCCGGGGTCCCGCCTGGCTCGGCGTCTGTCTCCGCCGGAGTTGAGGTCCGGACGCTCCGGCCCGGCGGGGTCCTGCTTCTCCCCCGGGCGGGTGCTGCGCCTGCCGCCCCTCGGCAGCCTTGTGGCCCTGCTGGAGCCGCAGGAGCCGGTCGGGCTCTGTCTGGTCCCGGCGCTGGCCAGGGCGTCCCCACCCGGCCTGGATGGTGCCGGGTTGCGCTGCCCAAGGTGGGTGCCCTGCCGGGTGGTCGGGTTGTCGGGGACAGGCCAGGCCCTCGGGGCCCCGACCCCTCACCTACTCCTGCCGTCCTGTGCGGCGCCCCCTCTGGCTCTCCCCGCACCTCGTGGCCCACGTCCTGTCCCCAACTCTCCCTGTGCGGCTGCCCAGCTTGGCAGGACCTGGGGGGCTCTTCAGCCCCGCGTCCAGGCTCGAGGGGTCACCGCGCCGCGTGGCCAGCGTCCGCCCCACCTGTGCCCGCAGGCTGCTCCCGAGGCCGAGCCCGGTCCTCGCGCTGCCCCCTCACGTGCTCCCCGGAGACCCCGTGGTGTCCCCCGGCTCTGTGGCTGGGCGGAGCCGAGTGAGGCAGCGGGAGGTGAGGAGCAGCTGGGTGAAATTACCACGGAAAGTGGAGCGATCACTTGTCACCTCTCGGCCGGCTGGATCGCCTCACTGTCCCCCGGGGCTGGGTGTCCTCGGGCCCAGCCCGTGCGCTTCCTGGGGGTGCGGGGCGGCGGCAGAGGCAGTAGTGGGGACCTGGGGGGACTTGCAGGGCCTCAGAGTGGCCACACTGGGGAGGGCTTGTGACTGCTGACGAAACTCTAGCCTCCGAGCTCCCAGGCCAGAGCAGGGCCGAGTCACTCCTGAAGGAGAGGATCTGGGCCTCGGCTGGTGCGGGGAGGCCTGGCCCAGCCGCATCTGGCTGGGATGGGGCAGCAGTGTCGTCTTGGGGGACCCTGGGGCCAGGACCTGAGGGTGACCAGAGCCGGTGCTGTCCTTGTCAGCCTGCGCCTGTGTGGCTGCCTCTTAGCCAGGAGGGCTGGGGCCGAGGCCTTGCCCGGGTCTAGCCCAGGTCCCTGCACCCAGCCATCTCGTTCCCTGCTGGCATCTCAGGGCCCCTGGAGCCACCCGCCTGGGCTCTGCCCCCAGCCTGGGCCTCCTGGGGTTCTCTCCGTGGGGTCACGTGGGCTGTTGGGGTGCTTGCACCTCGAAGGTTTTTGGGCGGCCACACTGGGGTCCCAGGCACATGTGGGGACCCCCTCTGGGTGCTGTGCTCTCGGCCCCGGTGAGCATCTGGACCTCGGGTACCACCGTGCAGGGGACCCCAGCCAGGTGTCGGCCACACCCCCGGGTTTCCTTCCCCTTCAGTCAGGATGAGGCAGGGCACGGACCCCGTGACCTTTCTTTTTAAGCCAGTCTTCGCTCTCCCTCGGCTCCTGGTGAGGTCGTTTGCCGAGTCTGCTCCACAGCTGCGTGGTGCCGGGCAACCTACAGCCGATCAGCTCGGAGCTGCCTCAGCTGCATCTCGCCCTCCCGGGCGCCACTTTGGAGGTGGCACCTGCGAGCAGGCCTCTCACAGGTGTGGGCAGAGGCTCGGCCGGAGGGCTGTGTGCGCCTGGGGGTGCCCTGCCCTCGTCCCATGGACGTCAAACCCAAGTTTGCACTCTCCCCGTCTGAAAGAGGCTCAGCCTGCGGGCTGGTGCGGGCACAGAGGCTGATGGGGCCTGGGCCTGGGCTCTGGGGCACTGTGGGGAGCAGGGCCACCCCCTCCCCGGCTGGGGGACCTTGGGGAGTGGCCCCTCCCAGGGCCCGGCCTCCCGGTGCAGCGGGACTTCCACAGGGCCTGGCACCCGGCTGGACTGTGGCCGTTGGGGTGCTGCTCCCTGAGCCATCAGGCAGTGCCTCGCCCTTTAAGGGGGGCCTCGGGTCCCCAGAGCCAGTTCCACCCTGCGGGAAAGGCGGGCTCCGTTCCCCTTGATGGCCCCCGGCATCCTGGAGGGCACATGGCCATGGATGGCCACCCGGCCCAGCCCGCCCAGCGCCTGCTCCTGTGCCTGGGAAGCAGGACCCAGCCCGGGCTGAGGGGCCCAAAGTGCCCTTATATAGTCATGGGACGAGGGCAGCCCCGCCCGCAGCGCCGGCTCAGCCGGGTGGGCTGGCCGGGTGGGGAGGGGTGGGGGCCTGAAGGGCAGCCAGATCCTGAGCCAAGCTTTGGGTCCAGCAGAGCCGGGCCTCAAGGAATGTTTATTGATTGAAAATAAAAATTTCCGGGCCCTCTGTAGTCAGGCCCAAGTACACTTGGGAAACCTCCATTTTTGCAAGCAAGAGGCCATTATTTGGTCACTGGTGGAGCCCCTGGGGTCCCTGACTGGGTGTCGGGCCATCAGCAGCCCAGCCCTCAAAATGTGTGTGCCCCCCCGCCGTGGGGCACTTGTGCACGGCCACCTGGTCTCTGCTGCGTCTTCTCCCTCGTCTCCGGGCCACCCTGCTGGGGGCCGTGGCCCTGCCGCCCCAAGGGAGTGACCGGAGGACCCCATCCTGCGCCCGGCTCAGTCCTGGTCCTCTGGGGTTTGGCAGCTCTGGGGGGCACCTGCCGGAGGCTCTGTCCTTGGTCCTGGGTCTCAGCCCAGTGCTGTCCCTGAACCGTGGTTTGCTGCCACCCGACTCTGCTCCGGGAAATCACCATGCGTGCTCGGTTGTGCTACTTCTGCCTGCCGTTCTGGAGCTAAGCGCCTTTGTTAAATTTTGTATATTGATACTTTTTGTTGTTGTCAGCAGTTTTTTCTTCCTTTTTTCTGGATATAAAGCCATTAGGGTGAGAGGAGATTAAAAAGATACATTACAATTAAAATGTTAATGAAAGCCGCATCATACAACTTCTGAACCCTTGGGGCATTCATCTTGCCTGTGTCGTGTCCATTAACTTGGGCGATTCTTATTCCACACTGACCCCTGCTGAGGGATTTGTGCTATAATTGGATTTTTTTTTTTATAAAAAAGAAAACAAGCTTTTAAGAAAATAGAGGTTGAGTGGTCGGCCCTGACTCCTAAAGGAAGAGAAAGGATGGAGGACAAGGTCTGCTGCCCTGGGGCCCATCCAGGTGGGGTATGGGTCCCTGCAGGCCCTGGGTCCCCCGGCTGCAGGGTGTGCACGGGGTGTGGGTCTGCAAGAGGGGGCCCCTGAGGGGGAGCTGGAGCCCTGAAGACTTGGGGTGGGGCCGGGCACCCCAGCTGTGTGGGTGCTGTGAAGGAGCCCCGGGCCCTGCCTGTGATGTGTGGAGGTCTGGAGGAGCCAGGCCTGCCTTGGAGGGGACTGGGTTCGTGGGTGAGGCCAGGGCCGAGAGCTGCCTTCCCGGGGTGTGGGTGCTCTGAGGGTGGCAGGAGCGAGCAGTGGTTCAGACTGCTGGCTGTGGTGAGGGCATGGCCCGTGCCCTGTGGCCGTGCCCTGTCCTAGACCCGGTCCCGGGGCGGCTCAGCCCGGCCACAGCCGAAGCGGAGGTGCCAGGGACCAGTCAGGTGGCTGCAGCAGACGGGTTTCATGTCTGTGTTTCTGCAACACCTTTCTATAAAGGGAAACATAATTTAAAATATGATTACTTAGTGTTGTAACAGCACCTCAGCCGCTCTTGTGCGATGTGTGATCGTTATCGAGCCTGATATTAACTTGCAGGGAATATTATGCAGATTGCCTGCTGGCTCCGGGATCCTTCCGAGTGGGGCCGGCGGGTCCTTGGGGCTGAGCCTGTGTGGTCCTCTCTGCAGACCCGGGCTCTGGCAACACTGGGCAGAGGGCCACGGCGCACCCCTAACTGGGTACTTACCAGCCCCAGGCTTGGCGGACTGGCCTGGTACAGTGGGCAGCCCTCTGCCCGACACCCACCCGGGCCCTGTGGGGTGCACACCCAGGGCCTGCAGGGAGCAGGTCGGGGGCAGCCCTTGCACGGGGATCCCTTCCAGCCACCCCTGTAGCAATACCGCCCCGGGCAAGTTGGGGGCAAAAATGCCAGCCTGAGTGGCGGGAAGGCCAGTTGAGGCTTCCCAGGAATCCTGTCTGGCTGCCGACTTGAGTCTCCAAATGCGCTCCCTCCACTGCAGTGGGGCAGCACCGTCGAGGTCTCCTGCGCCTGACCTTACGCCTCATGGGGTGGACAGGTGTCGAGGGGAGCCCTGGACATGAGGGCAGGGGACTCCCTGGACGCCTGGAGCTGGGTCCGCCTTGGGGTGCAGAGCACTGTGCTCCTAGGCTTGGGCAGGTGGGTGTGGAAACCCGGGAATCCCTCCTCCCCGAGTCCCGAGCCCTGTGGGGACCCGGCCTTGCCAGCTCTACCAACTCCCGCAGCCTGGGTGGGCGGTGTCACACCCTCCACCTCTGCCTGGTGGCGCACGTCTCTGCCGCCTCCTGTCTGTGTCCAGGCCTCCTCTTCACGCTGGGGACGGAGCCCAGGCCCTGTGCCTGCTAAGCCCTCTCTCTGCCACTGCCGCGCTGCACCCCAGCCAGGTACCCC